AGACTGTTGAATAGAAAACACAAGACTTAAGTGTTGAAACAAAGTAAAAAGTTGAAAGCTACAGATATCTACTTCAACGAACTTTTGAACATTTGGTTTATCATACGAAGCATACATATTTGCAAAAATAAGCTAAAATGTGAGACAGCAGATCATAAATCCAGAGTCGTTTAGCAACCTGTTCAGAGGGAACCCTTCTCCAATAACCATTGGCAATTAAACCCTTGATCTCAACTGGATAAGCGTGTAAAAATGATAACTATATGGATGGAAATCAATGGTTAGATTATTTTTAAGGGTTGATTTATTTAATTTCAGACTTTTCACATAATTTTACAAAGAGCGTCAAAGAATCTCGGCAGCACCGGACGACCCAAACTGCTGAACAGCTCAAAAAGGCTGTGAATAAGGCTTGCTTAAATAACTCTCTGAGTACAGTTTTACATTGGATTGCTTGCATTAGCATACATGGTAAAGCATTCTACTGATGTATAGAAAAATACATAAATATATAACAAATCAGTGTGATGAACTGTTGTCGTGTGTGCATAGCACCATGAAATTGGGCACAATCTGGAAAGAAGCTCATAGTCACTTTCATGGTACATGCAGTGTGTGTCCAATGCGGAGTGTGGAGATTATCCTGGTCACTCATCCATTCAGTTGTGACACCAAGGAGGATTGGTCAGAGGTTATGTAGGGATAGCCTAATACTATTTATTATTGATGAATGATACAAAAACATGTGAATTCTTCATGTTGTCTGCCTGCCATTTCTCTATGTTTGGTATTACTAAAATTTCTTGCAGACCTTAAGATATACCCCAAACACAAAAAACTCATTAAACTAATTTGTTGCTTGTGTCTTAATGAAATTAATAAACCCAAAATATGAACTTGCTTTAGAGACTAGATTACCACCACTAACCAAAGAGACAATCATTGGTCTGCAGAAGTATCTCTTTAGATGACTTCTCAATTTCAACATCCAATTCACATGTGTCCCTCCAATGAAGTACTCGGAGAGAGTAAAAACAATCTGTGCACACACCAGTGAGCTGAAATATGCTGTTGTGCTACTGCTGCAGTGATGTTCAATAAGACTGTTCCTTTTTTTTAATTTTTTAAGCAAAGTATTCATTCATGTAATTAAGCTGGAGGAAACGCACAAGAAAAATAACCAAGATCTATTTTAGAAACAGCAAATCAAGCTGCTGCACTGTTTAATATGTTTGATTGAAAAGAGAATAATCTAAACAACTTCTGTGTGCTGTAATAAAAATTGAGCATATGTTGCTGGAGGAACATGCTAAAATAACTGACTGATTTAATCATACAATTTATATTTCCACTTCAAATGTAGTAGTCTGAATTATTTGTTGAATCTTTAAATCTACATTATTTCTTTGTTAAAGACCCATGCATTTTACATAGCTTGAACGTCAGTGATTGCAGTTCCTGTTTTCATCAGAAGGGTCTACTCCTTCTTTGTTTTGTTGCTCGTCCAGTTCACCAAATAAACCCATTTGCACAATATTTGCACAATATTTAAGTTGGCTGGTCATTAACTGAGGAGCTTGTTAATTTTCACATCTGAAGGAAAATTCTTTATCAATATCCTTTCAACATGAGAAAAGTAAATTAGTTTAATTAGATTTTAGATAGTTAAATATGAGGAATATGCATTCAAGTCTTCCCTGGCAAAAAAGTAAAACAGAAGAAATCACGCTACCCTTTTATAAAATATATATGGACTTCACTACTTTAAAGTCCATCCTATTTGTCTATGTAATTGCATTTTAAGAGAAAATTCTACTTTATTATATGTACTCCTACCAGATTCAACAATATGAGACAGAAAATCATTCCTGTCAGGGGAAAGAAAGAGGACATTTCACTTTGGAACAAACTGGGACATTGTTTCTGTTTTGGAAAGTGCAATTATGAGTGTTTTCAGACATCCAGTGACATGTCATTTGTAAACCAACTAGGACTTCCAAGAGAAACGATATTTGTCACACCTACTGTAATGCACCATCGAGTTGCTGAAGCACTGGGTCTTCCCAAAGGGGCCCAGGAGGGAAATCAAGGAATCTGTCGAATTAATGCATGCAGCGAAGATTCCTCCTGTCATCTCTGCTCTCTTTTACCGCTGCCTTTTAAAAGCCATTTAAAGGCACCAAAATGAACAGTACAGACAAGCTTGACAGTGACTCTTAAAATACCATCTGTCTCCTTTAACACTTAAATAAACTAAGATACTGCCTTACACGAGCTTAATTTTAATTAATGAATTGATTTATGTTGTCAGTGACAAAGCAACATAGTTTAAGATATGCCAGAAGCGGTCTATATATTTCTTCCTACAAGGAAAATCCCTTTAAAGGATCCTTTTTTTTTCTAATTGGACAAGGGCTCAAAATTACAAAGCATCGTTAGAGCTTTTGATGTATATTGCAGTGAAAATGATTTTTCAAGCTGTTAGGATCAATTTGACAACGGGACATCTCGAATAACCATGTTCACTCCAGGGTGGCTTCATGGTTGCATTCCTTGGAGTGACAGAGATTTCAAAGTTGGGCTCATCTTACTCCGGGTGTAGAAAAAGAACAAAAGTTTCGCGTTGATAAGCTTGTGTTTCTGAGTGTCACTGCAGATAAGGAACTGTAATGTTCCACCACAGCAGGAGGGGGGGATCCAGATTAACAAGCTTAAAGCTGCTTCTCGTTATCTACCTCAAATTTATATTTTTACCTCCCACCAAACAGGGACATAATTGAGCCATTTCTTGTACTAAATATATTTGCTGTTAAATTAGAGCTCACTGCAATCCCAAAGATAATACAACATAAAAAAAAGTGAGCTTAAGAAATAGTTTTTAGTCGTTTATCCTAGATAAAGACGGAGACGTACATTTACTCCGTCTCCTCTGCTTGCTGTAAACTACCTGACAATTGTTCATTAATGATTCCCAGTAAATTCCTTAAAATGGTAATTTGTCATCCTGTCACTTCATTTGTGACCTAAAATTCCTCACTAGGGGCATCATCAAATAAATTAATCACTACCCAGGATCCATTTCTCCCTCGTGCGTGCTGTTCTACCCGGCTCTCTTGTGTTTCTCTTCATTTACATATATTTAATGGCCCAGTTGTGGTTGGTTGTGCCACGCGACTTGCGCGGTGCGTGTCAGGTGAAATATTCCAACTGCCACAGTCTTTAACAGTGCGAGCCATGTCTTGTTCATTTTCTCAGTGAATTCCCCGAAACACAGGAGAATAAAGGGAATTAAAGTCATTTTGTGGAACTGTAAAACCAAAAGTGCACAATTTGCAGGTTTCTGGATGGGAGATTACGCTAATAGGCAGCACACTTTTATGAAATACATAAAAAGATGTTTTTCGTCATTCTTTTTTCTGCCTTCTGGTAATGCATTTTATTTTGTTTGCAAAAGAATGCATTAAAGCCACTTTAAGAAAGATGTTAAATTTAAACTCAGGAGTTGTCAACACAATTTGGCTTTATTTAATTGTATCTCATTACAGCACATGTGTACAGTACATTACCCACCAGATAGATTGCTTGTTGTGATCCTCAGGGGAATTGTGCTATTAAGTGTGAAGCTCAAGGCTTGCACAGGCATGAACTCAAAGCATGGAGATTTTACACCCAAAGTAGTGAAGGACAGTTTTTTGTTGTTGATTTTTAGTCTTTTTTTTTTTTTTTTTCATACAATTAACTCGTATATCAAAATAAATTCATCACAACCTGAATTTTATTTGGCTTTTGAAGGGGATAAGCAATTTTAAATTTCCATTTTTAAAGCAAAAAGAGTATTTTGATTCATGTGGAGTAAGACGGGAAGATGCGACTATATATGGATGTTGATGTAACATCTCTAGCATCTATCCTGCTTGAAGCATGTCAGTCTCTAAGGCTGAGGACATAAAATAGATTGCTTTCTCACCAAAATTATTATAACTGGCTTATGGTAAATAGATCTACGGCTGCCTTTTGGTGACAGATTAAGGATATTTGGAGCACTTTTTCTGCACAGATTGTCCAAGCAGGACATGTGGCTGTGCTCCCTGGAAGTAAACGCAGATAAGGTGGAAATATTTCTCCTCACCCATCAAAAACAGTCGGGTTTATAATGCTGGTCAGAAGAGGAGCAAAAATTACCTTTAACCAGAATGTTTCCAGATTTTTTGTGTTTAGAGTAATGATTCATCACTTATTATTGTGGTGGATTGTAAGCAGACTATCCTCACAACAGTCTACTTTTAAATCCCTCCATAGTGTTCTAGTTTACTAAATCTCCTACATGATATTTTCAGTGAGCTTTCTTTCTCCTTACAGTATTAATATCCAACTCTTCACTTAATGGATTCCCTTTCCAACTGGATACTTTGTTATAGCTACTTTTGTTTTGGATTATCAAAAATCATTATTCCTAATATAATCATTGCTCTTTGGAAACCTTGGCTTCATTTTTAGGTGGTTTCATTGTTTTTTCTACATATAATTTAAGTTTTGACATGGGAATGTGATTTAAGCTTAAGTACAGCTTAAAAAGAAGAATTGTAAAAATGAGGCATGACCTTTAAAGTTCATTTGAAGCATATTTTCCCACATACATTGTTTGTTATACTACTGCCCATCAAAGCACTGCATTAGCATTTAGATCAGAAGTCAGTGTATAATATTATGTTTCCATTCTATCAGGACGACATTTAGTTCTTAGCTGGTTATTGTTTATTTCAACATGAAGAAGTGTTAAAAGATGGTCTAAGCAGCCTGATTACACAACTTTCAGTGTAAAAGCTCTTTAGTTTTTTTTTTTTCCTCCACCTTTTACATTTTGACTCAAATTCAGTTAAATAATCTCTTTCTCTCCGTGTGTGTGTGTGTTTTTTTTTTCTTTTGACAGTTAAAGAAAACAGCCCAATTATTTTTAGGAGCTCATAGCATGTCATGTTTTGATTTTACATCCTCATTAGGGCTTCCTAACACCGGAGGACATGTGAAAGTGTGAGAAGGACTACCAGAGACAACAACAGCAGCATGAATGTCGCCAGAGGATCCCTTCTCTCACCCAACCACCCTGTTAGAACCTCACAACCTGTTTCAAATGAAATTAGCATAATTAAGAATTAACATGCATTAATTGTTGTGTTCAATGCAAACTGAGGACAAATGTGTCATTTCCTGCGGAAGAACCGCTAAATGCTTTGTCACCTCCCCAGAGGCGTCATAGGTGAAAACATAATAAATGACTAAATAAAATGGAGAACAAGCAACTGTTTTGTCTAGATGCAATGAGGATTTGAGTTATTTACAGTGTAGGTAGTTCAATGCAGGTAATTAATGGACTGGGTGCTACACTTGCTGTCATGCTTGCTTAGAGGCATGCATTTGTTTGCGGTGTCAATTAGAACTGTGAAAAAAACTGATGCTTCCATGCATGTTATTCCAAGACATTATATTAACTAACCACCATTTCTTTCAAGTGAGGCATAGTGATGAAATAAAAATACTGTGTTAAGGCCTTGATTATAATGCTAAAAATAATTTCTCAGATTTTTTTTGTCTTTAAACTGACCTGCAGACCTTGAGTTTGGCATGTCTTTTAGTCTGAATACCCTTTTTTTTTCTTTTTCTTTTTTTTGCTGCAAATGGTTTTGTACACTCAGTTATTTTTTTCACATTTAAATTACTGTTTATCTTTTGCTCATAGGTACCAACAACTTTGGATGATTTGGATGATTCATAACTGGGCAGTTAAAATCTTGGGTATGATGTCCTCTAGATCCCATCAATGTCGTGTTCTTAAGAAACCAAATTTGCAGAACTTTGCTAATTTTATAACATGTTGTGAATGTAAATTTTTTTTAAAAAATGCATTCTTTTTGAAGCTTTTAGGATGTACTACACCCATTCGACTCCCCCTAAAAATACAGGTTCCCTAACTCATTTAGAAAATTTAAAGAGGCCTTGAAACTCTGAGCAACAGTCTGATCTTTTTTGTCCTAAACTCTGCCAAGGGGCTTCTGACCTCCGCTTCAACACACGTAATAGAGCTCTAGCCCATCTGGCAGAGTTTCAACTTCCCATTCATGAGAGCTATGTGAAAACTTTTTTTTTTTTTGTCTTCATTTCTGTTATGTTATATTTTAAACATTTGTGGCTCACCAAGAAAATATTTTCAGGTTTTTACCGATTTCTCAGGAGACTAACCCAAGAGAGAACATTTTAACGCAACAAATAAACACCCCTCAGCTCTGCAGCTATATTTTTTTTAAAGGAAAATATATCAAACAGTGTATTGAACAAGGAAGCCTGTGATGTTGCAAAGATGAGTTTATAACAAAGGAAGTGGGCACATATGAAGTGCTAACCAGGGCTCAACCTTGCAATAAAGTCTGGCATTTGGAGAGTGCAGCTCAGAAAGAAGGTTATGCAGTACTGCAGCGCTTTGGGTGATGGAGGAACTATGTTTTTATTTTTTTTTTATTTTTTTTTTTTCTGTCATTCTGTGAGCTATCAGATGGGAGGAAAGATGATCAAACAGATGTTGGTCTCAGAAGACAGCAGGCATAGTCCCAGTTGGGGATTAGGATAGAAATTCTATGTATCAATCCACTTTTAATTTTATGCGTTTGTTCAGAGCTTTAGAGAAAAGATTACAAATTTATGCAACAATATGTGAAAACAATGTAAAACCAGGCATAACATGGGTTGGCTTCGGGTGGTCTCTTTCATCCTCTTAGCTCGGGTCCTCTACCAGAGGCTTGGGAGCTTGAGGGTTCTGCGCAGTATCTTGGCTGTGCCTAGAACTGCACATTTCTGGACTGAGATGTCTGATGTTGTTCCTGGGATATATATATAAATATATATATATATATATATATATATATATATATATATATATATATATATATATATATATATATATATATATATATATATATATATATATATTGAAACTGCAGATTTCATCAAAATTCTCATGTGCATTAATTTAAATGCTATGGGTACCAATAAGGCTTACCCAAACATGTTCTAATTAGTTTTAATTCTTGTCTTTTTGCCCCAACACATATTTTGCAGTACATTTTTATTTTATTTTATTTATTTTTTTGTCAGGGTATGTCCTCCGCGTCCTTTTCTGTTCCACAGCATCTTTTAGCATAACAATGCACAGCTTTGCTTTTATCCCTTTTCTATGAAACTAATTTTGGTCCTTGAAACAAATTTTAGTCCTTTTAGTCTTTTAGTTCCTGCAGGTGAAAATGTGTTTCCACTATACACACCGAAATAGAAAGCATCCACTTTCATTATGTAATATGTTGCATTACTTTTAAAACCTTTGTATATGAATTAGCTTAATACCCACTAGAGTTCATCTGAAACTTCTTTATACCAAATGCTCCCACATCAAAATATCTAGAGACTTCTTGTAGATCCAAAGGATTTTTTCCCCACTACTTTACATTGCATAATCTATCTTGCCATTAGGTGGCATAAAACAGCTGGAACACCATTCTATGAGATACTGTAGCATGCATACTTTGCACACTTTGTTCTCCTGCTAAACCTGGCTGCTGGGGACTTTTGTAATTGTCAACAAAGGGCATAGCCCAATTAATATGCAGATATCACAGTAATAAAATCACTCATATTATGCTAGCTAAATGCTTTATCTGCACAGATGAAGATCCATTCGCACCAACATGTCAAATTCTTAAAGTGTCAGACCTTCTTTGTGGACAATTCAGGTTGTAATTACATGACCACAATACACTCAAACAGTGAATAGAGCACTAAACTTTTCAGTCCAAGAAAGTCAGGCAATCTCAAAGAAAATAGATAAAAATAAAATAAAATCATGATATCACATCAAAAAAGAAGTTTTAGTCACAGAGCAGCAGATTCAATCTTAGACCATTAATCCTAAAACAATCAGGGATACATAAAAAAATGCATTCCACAGTTGCGGCCGGACTTGATGTTTAAAAAGATGCGTCTGATATCTTCACATTTAAAAATCTGTAAAACACACTTTCAGATGTGTCAATATTTGTGGCTGGATAACAAACAGTGTGACAGAGATTCTTGATCACATACCTTTTAAACAATCAAACATATTTTAGTTATGAACTGACTGCTGAATGGTCCGGAATCGAAAGCGCTGCCAAGATTTTTAATCGTGCATCGTACTCTCACAATGAAAGGGGCGGAACACTAGCATGCTAACCAGTTAACAAATGATAATGTAACCATGTTATGATAACCATGATAAGTTACTAATGTAAGCATTTATCTATGCACAAATATCTCTTCTATACAGTCCATTAATACAATGAGCATAAATACTTGTTAATATCATTATTCCTAAATTGCTCAGTTTTTTTAACGTCTCAGTTTTTGTAAGGTTTCCCAGCCTTTCCTCCAACACATACAATATATGAATACATTTTTTATCACTAATTTGCACAGCTTTTAAATTATTGTTTATATTTTTGAGCTTATATTATTGTTTTCATCATCCACCTAAAAACTGTTTTTGTTTTAAATACTCTTTTTTTTTTCTCTATATGATCTTGTCTCCTTATTACAAAGAAGCAGAGCCGTACATTTATAAAGAGGTGGGGAATTTTCCACATTAATCTAGATTTAATATTCAATTCAAAATACATTTTTCCTATTAATTAAAAATAAACCATGTATTGTATGGTACATTATCCCTCTAACGGCCCCATGTGGAGATTATGAAGTGGAAAACTAATGGTCTGGGCTTTAGCATTTGGATTTTGCCTGAGTCATTTACATATCTTTAAGGGGATGTCGACGTATGTGCAAATAAGCAGAACTTTACGTGTCCCATGCTTTCTCTGCCACCACCTCTGTCCACCCCTCCCCTTTTATTTTTAACAGAGGAATCAAAGCAGAAGTGTTGCTTCTCTCCCCTCAGCTAGAGAAGGTAATGAGATTCTGTGCTCCCTCTATTACAAGGAGGATGAGAAATCTGATTATTAAGGAGAGGCATGTGGCAGTAAGAAAAATCTGTTTGTTTTTTTCTTATTGTATCACCCCAAGAAACAAAGGTGACCCCTGTGTTCTGTTCATTAAATCTTGCCTCCTCTAATTTATCAAGGTAAACTATCAGAGTTTCTGCTGAGCTAATCAGAATGTGGAAACTTGTTAGGTGTGCCTTAAAAGGACACATCACAGAATTCGGATATCACTTCACATACTGAGTAGGGCCTAATTCATGCTTCTCCAACAGCACAGCAAATGTATTAAGGGCATTAGCATGTTGATTTTATTTTTTATTTTTTCCATACAGGGAACTTCAGGACGATGAGGATGAATTATGACCTCCAAAGCAGTACAAGTGTAATTATGTCAAGGACACAGAGTTGCTGCAGGTGCATGCTTTGATGCAAATATCACAGAAAAATATAGTTTTTGCTGCATATTATGATTACTTCTAGTAAAACTTATTTGGCGAAGCGTTTTGAATTTAGCCATACGTGCTGAATACCACATTTTCCTGGTGGTCGACTTATAAAGGCACATCAAGGTTTTCCTCCCTAACATGTATGTAATCAATAAAGAAATGCACAAAAGCACAGAATTGTTTTCCAAAAGCTACAGTTATATCTAGACAGCAAACTGTTTGGAAAATCGTGTTTCACTGTACAGTTTGCAAGTTGCGCTGAAAAAGAAATTTCTGTGCTAGACTCCTGGTCCATGCACCACGATATCACAACTCATCCAGATTCCTCAACAAACTGCTGAACATATTTGTATGTCAGTGGGAGGTTTCTGCATCCTCACCATCTGGCTTTGTCTGGTTGTGGAGGAACAAAGTAAACATTTTTATCTAGTTGTCAGCACAATGAGATTTCTTTGCAGGTGCTGTATCTGCTAAGCGTGGCATCCTGTATACAATAAAGAAAAATAGTTTCTATTCAAATGCACCTATATGTCAACATGGCTGAATGAGTGCAGTCGGAAGAAAACTAAACACTCAAAGTCAAAGATCTGTGTCCTTGTCCTCCTTCCTCTCTTTCTCTTAACTGTTAAGAATTCAATTTTCAACAAACCAGCCTGTATGTGCAATTTGGAGGCTCTTCTTCACTCTTGAGGCTGGCCAATGCTCTGTTGACCAATTATTAACTAAATCCACCTGTTCAGTATAAAACACAGTGCATTTGGAGATTATAAAATGCAAGCTGAAACACTTATGAGAAGATACCAAGCCACAACTTTTGCTTGGCTGTTAGTCTAACAACTGATTTATTTG